TCTTAACCAGCTGAGCCACTTGGCCGGCCCGCAGTTTTCCCTTTTTAAGAGAAGTATAATGTTGATCATTTTGTGACTTTTACCAATGTCTTTGAGGGTGGAATCAGAATCTTTTTGAGATTATAAGGACAAATTTTTGAAGGGAAAACTTTTTGTTGAATGCCTTCTGAGTCCTGGGGTGTAAAGAAAAAGATATGAAGGTCCCACTCCCGAGTAAAACCACGTTGAAGGACACAGGCAAGTTGATAAATAACTGATAAATTGTAGTGATAAAAGTGAATGCCTAGAGTTTTGGGGGTGGGATGGGAAAAGGACAAAAAGACAAGTTCCTCACTCAATTCCATGTGACAGACTCTTAGTAGCTCTTAATGCTTGGCTTAAATGTCACTGATGGTTTTCAAAGTCTTGTTAGTTCTCTCACAAGCAGAATTAATGGTTTGCTTCTTTGTAATAAAACATCTGTATATCTCTTATGTGCTTATCACATTTTATCAACAAAAATTCATTATTATCAAACTGTTATATAGTGTACAAGTTATATGGGTGGGATTAAAATATAAAAACTTCAGTTGTTTTTTTAACATCAAGATAAGTGGAGATTATGGAAAGGGTGCTACTTGTTGTTATTTTTTGCCTAGTTTCTAAATGACATTATCAACAATGTGTTAAAAAGTGAGAAAGCCTGTGGCATTGAAGTCAGCAACGCTTCCACATTTATTTTGGGGGGTATGGAAAAATAGAGGAGTATACATTTTGGAATCAACCAAATAAAATGGTTTCCTTTGCTTGTGAAGCAGTCACCATATTCAGATGTTAGTCATGTTTCTACAATTGAAGGGCATTCTGTTATGACTCATTCAGGATCTTGGTCATCATTATTTGTTGTTGTTTTTTTTCCTATATGGGGGGTGGGGGTGGGGCAAAGCCTCACTGAGCTTTTAATGGAATAGCTTTCAACTTTCTGAGGGCGGAGGGTATGTTGTGTGGAGCGTGCATAAAAAGAAGGAAATCTGTATAATAGAAGAATGCCTGCCTTTAAACAGTAAGTATTTAGGTTGAATATTATGAGCTGAGATTGCGTTTTGAAATGAATAAATGTTTAAGTGGCTGATTAGAAGTCGTTTGGGTGAGCTCCTCCTGTAACTGCATCAGGCGGCCCTGTCAGCGTGCCAGGGGCAATGACTGAAAAGGGAGCTAGACAGATACTTTCTAAGACTTAGGTTTCAAGAAGCGAGATATA